CTCTTACGCACAATTACTTTCATACACGTAAAGCAATCATTAGTGTGATGTAAAAAAAAAACAGATTTTGTCATTTCCTCTCCTTTTGCTTTGCTGCAATAGAATAACATCTTTCAAAAGATCCTTGTTTTGTCACCCAGCCTTTTTATATAATCTATTGTGTGTTGGGAGTTACTAGCAATTGTTCGTAACACAAAATAATTTTTTTTATGTCTTATGTCTTTAGGATTCATAACTGAGCTGCATTTGTTAACATTTTTAGTCATTCAAAAAAATGTTTTGTTACACTACAACCATGTATGGACTCCATATGTTTCATTTTTGATTAAACCAAGATGCATCAACACATGTATGACTTTAATTTCTGTGGTACAAACACATGTTGCTTTCAAATAACAATATTTTTACCTATCTCTTTAATGGATATTAAATAAATATTGTCAGAGTCTTTCTGCAAAGAGTTTGCATCTTCTCCCTGTGCATTAGTGGTTTTCCTGCAGTGTTACCCTGTGACTTACTGGTGACCTGTCCAGAGTGTACCCTGCCTCTAACCAATAGACCGCAGGCACCGTCCCCACCACAACTCTGACGGACTAAATGGGAAAAGATGGATGCATGTAATTATTTTAGTTTGTACATTTTATCTTATGAAAAAACGCTTGTCTGATTATGTTCATTATCATTTTAAATATAGAGAATACTATGAAAACAAACTAGATTTAATCTTAAAAAAAAAAAAAATTGAATTTATACATGTTTTGTTTAGTTCATTGTGTTAATCCTCTGCAGAAACCCTTTTCTTTCCTGGTTAAACTTTCCGTGTTCCCTTAGCTCTCAGTGTTTGCTGGAACTTGGGTCAGTGGATAAAAACATCATTCATTGTACCCTGAAACACTACAGACTCCATCAAATGGGATTAAGCCAATATTCAAATGTCTTATTGTTTCTTTGGACTTTGCTATATTCAGCAGAGTAATCTGCATTTAGCATAAATGGGACAAACTGTCCACAGCAGAAGCTCTCAAAAGCTTTAACTGTGAAACAATCTGAAGTGACATTTCCCCATTAACATTGATTCCCAAAGACAAGTGTTTGCACCTCCCACCTCCTGAATATTCACAAACCACAGACACCTTTGAGCCACATCATCGTATCAGATGTCATCTGATATCTGCTGTTATTTCTCCACCAAATGTGCAAAGAAAGTTATTTTTATGGATTCAATTGTATTCACTGAACATCTGACAAACCGCTGGGATTTCTGAAGCTTGTCTGGTGGCCAGTCCTTAAATCCAGATGCTCATCAATAAAAAAAAAACTATTCTAAGTCCCCTATTTGGAGAAAAAAAAGAGTGTTATGAAGGAAAAGCCTTCTAATGTTTGATCAAAATTGTCTTTTATTTTTGATTTCTCTGCTAGCACCGGGTTGTCTCTAATGAACACCATGTTTAGGCTGAGAGTAAACATTGAGTATTGTCAGTATCATGTGACATTCAGCCAAATATTGCTATTTAACTCATGCTATCACCAAACCTGCAGTCTTATGTGTTGGATATTGAAGGCCACCACTAGGATCACCATGTATTGGTGACTTGTGTCTGGTGCTGATGGCATAACATAATATGGCGTAAAGCCAAATTAGTAGTGAGGGTGAACTGAGTCATTCACATTTCCTTGACAGTCTATCATTATTTTCGTGCTGATGACTGGCTGGACTACTCATTTAATTCACCTGCCCAACTCCACCCAGTTTCTCTTTAACGTTCATCTGATCCACCTGCTCCTGCTTCTATTTAACCAGCTTGCTTCTATTCATCAGTGGTGAGAGTGTTCTAGTGTTACCTTAGTGTTTCTGATTACCTGATCCTGACCTGTTCTGCCTCTCAACCACTGAGCCTGCCTTTTTCCCATCTGATCTGATTGCCTGACCACGTTTTGGACTCTTGCTGGATTCTGCATGTTTGCTGAACTTGGAGCTGTTTGCCGTCCTGGATTTCCCTTTTGGAACCTCTTTGAACTTCTGTTCTCCTGGTTCTGAATCCTGAGCCCGTCCTCAACTCCGGCTTTGGCTTTGCCTTCTGGATTATCCTGCATTCCTTCGTCTGTCCGGATTTGTTCTCCTGCTTGTTCTCTGTCCTCCGGGACTGCAGCCTCTGGGACTCTCTGGGCAGTGCCCGGAGCAACTTGTTGGCAGCCCACCAGCTGGCTCCTACCTCGTTCTCTGCACGGACTGGACCATTAAACCAGGTTATTGACTCACACGTTTATAATCATCCTCCGTCAGATTAACATGGTCACTAACCTGTGTTTCTCTCCTGCAAAGGTTCTTGCCTAAGATGTCCTTGCTGTTATTGCAGATCCACTGTTCTGAGCCTTGACATTGTCATTAAATATCAGATATACGAGAAAGATTGTGGTTGTTTCCAGATCAGTTCCCTCAGAGCTGTTGCTTGTTGCTGACCGTGTTTGTGGGGTTAATTGATCTATGGGGCTAGTCTCTGCCTCAAGTGAGGTGGAGTTACTCAAAAAATTGTTCATAATTAATGGTATCATGAAGCTGAAGATGGATAGATAAATAAGTCATCATTTAAGGCAAAAATGGTTGTGATCTGTTGCAGATGCCAAATGGAAGGTTCTTGATTTAAAGATCCATGCGATTTCCAAACCTGACGTTTGTTCATTAGATATGGATCAGATCCATAGTTTTCCTTCTTTCCCTTTTTTTATTCCTTTGTTTTGTTTGTTTAGGAGAGGTTGAGTTGTAAAATATGGCATTTAGCTTTCAGTGACACAGTAATGTGGATTAAAAACTTTCCAAGCTTTCAGACTTCAGAGCTTAAACCTTTATAGAGCTCTCATTGAAATACTTTGAAATAAATAAAAAAATTAAGCCAACTGTGTTCTAGGAGGACAGAACAAGACATCATTACTTCTGTTGCATTTGAAAAAAAAAATATTTTCATGCCAAATATTGCGATTAATGAAATTACCTAAAACAATCACTTGACCTGGTAAAAGGTATGGTAAAAGATATTCCAAACTGTGTTTCTATCAGAACAATTATGCAAAACACTTACAGAGTGAAATAAATACATGTTTTGTAGCAATATACAACTCAGAACATTAGTTTTAACATGTGCACTAAAATTTGTGTATTTTCAGTATTTGTACTTGGCCTATTATAGTTGCTTATTAGAGTTTTTATTTAACTTATTAACTTTGTAATGTACTAGCTTTTTAACTTATTACCTTTTTAACTTAATAACTTAACAACTTATTAACTTAATTTAACTTAATGCATACCAGGTAACATCCCACGACAGCAGGGAACATTACATTACTGATGGTAGTCTTTGAAGCAGTTACGCTCAGCTTTCAGACAGAGGTGGACCTTGCAGACCCCTCAGACAAATTTGACCTCACAATATTGCCTTTTAGCTGCAAAACTTGCAGGTCTGGTGTTTGGCATGGACAGGGACATGGAAGAGGGACAGATCCTTATTTGGGGTGTGGCTGCAGTGTCCTCGGACTGGAGGGGGACTATAGTCATTGGTGGTTAGATGGTCAGATGAAGATGATGAGCTTCTCTGGGATCTAGTTATGGGTGACCTTAGGCCACTGGCACTCATGAACACGTTGATTCTGAAGTCTTTCAGAGACATCGCATTCACACCAAGGGCCTTGCAGTCCTGCTTGTAGACGATCCAGGCATTTGAGAGGCTAAGATCAATGGTGTATGCGAACAATCGCAGGCACCCCCTCCTGACTTCATGGGGGTATGGTAAAGGTGGACCAACATGTCAACCTGCAATGCCCCCCATGTTGGCATTGCAGGTTGCATCCATCGCCTCTTAGAAGAGGGGCCCATCTCATTTAGGCCTTGAATGTCTAGGTTAAGGGTTGGTTGGACATAGTCTGGGCCTGACACATCGTCATCATCTTCCTCACCATCATCACCGATGGCAGGGTGGGCTGGCACAATGGCAGTTGCTCCTGGTTTGCTGTAAAACAGCTGAGTAGAGAGCTGGCAAAAAAAAAAAAAGAGTTTATCAAAGAAAGTCAAACAACTGTTTTTAGGTCATAAAACTGACAAATGTTAACCATATTCACTGCATTAACGTAGTCTTTTTTAGGAGATTAAACTGATTTAAAAATGCCACTTTTCACTGCAAAACACATACAAATATTTTCAAAACTGTTATTAGATCATAAAACTGACCAAAATCCATAACTTTACAATAACTGATAAAACAACAGCTATTACAAAATATAAATACCCCCCAAAAAATCCCTACTATTCTGGACTTCTAACGGAATCATTTAATGTATTATAGACACTCTTGGCAACATAATCTTATAATATATTAAGTAATACTGCTTCATTTTTAATGAAGATGCACTAAGTACTTGCATAGGGCATTTGTCCAAAAAGAGTCATAACATATTAACTCCAATGTTTACCACTAGAGGGCGTATGATCAAATATGGCACCTGCAATTTTCATTCTCTAATTTCACAAATTTCTTCAATTCCTCCGTATGTAACATACATTTCATCCCTTTACACAACAATTCAAATGTTAAATGTGTGAGTTTAAGTGACTTCAATGGTTAGCTTTTTATTTATCCCTGTGAATTTGGACGGTTTCCAAGCCAAAAAGGAACTTTTTTCCACATCTCGAGAATGAGGAAGTTTGCTCCATCCAAGGTCTCATCTGATTGGTCCAATGCCGAAATGATGAGAATGACCACCTAGTAAGATCTTTGTTGATTGGCTGGATATAAATCATGAGTTTCTTGAACTAACAGAGGAGCGGCGGGTGTGACTACCCGATCCGACCGGTGTCGTGAAAAGAATGATTCAATTTGTTAGTGCTGCGCAAGTTCCCAAAAACGGCCACTTGCCCTATAAAGGGATTAAAGCATTTACATTTATTTTGCAGTACATACATCAACCCTTGTATCAGGATTACTTTACACAAATTAGAGGTATGTATTTGTTTCTGATAGAGCTGCCTTTACAGCTGTAATTGCTCCTATAACAACGAGTTTTATGGGATGATTCTGTTATCTTGTATTATTCAGTGCAAAGAGCAGCGAGTCAGAGTTCATTTGGTTAATCAGTATCTTTACAATGCAGTTGTTAAAAAGCCCAGCACTTTTTTTAATCGCAGGCAAAAAGAGTCATCATGAAGCTGTGCCTTTCTGCTTTAGTCCTGCTGCTACTTTGTGCTGCAAAAATCTCAAATGGAGGAAGGATTTTGGTGTGGTACACTGAGGCCAGCCATTGGATCAACATGAAGCCTGTCCTGGAGACCCTGGTGGACAGAGGACACCAGGTGACCGTCCTGGTTCCGAGCGCATCGATGTTCATGAACAGCAGCGAACCTTCCCGCTTCCAGTACGAACCTTTTGACGTGGCCATCACAGTGAAAGACCTAGAAAAGAGCCTTGAAGCTGTTCTTCACTTCTCCATGCATGAGATAAATGTCATAAATCCCGTTATGATTCCCTTTAGATTTTTTGCTTTAATGAAAGACAACATGGATATTTCTTTCAAGCTCTTGGACGGCGTGGTGAAATCACAAACCATGATGAAGAAGCTAAAGGAGGGAAACTATGACCTGCTTTTTGCTGATCCAATCTACCCCGGCAGTGACCTGACTGCACATATTTTAGGCATCCCTCTGGTCTTTTCTTTGCGTTTCTCCATAGCTCATAATGTTGAGAGACACTGTGCTCAGCTGCCTGCCCCTCCTTCCTATGTCCCTGCGGCTATGTCCTCACTCACAGACAAGATGGACTTCTCTCAGAGACTGGGGAACGTCCTCTTCTACGCTCTGCAGGATTTCATGTTGGAACAGTTCATGTGGAAAGAGTTTGACAAATATTACTCAGAAGTTAGAGGTAAGCCACCTGATCCTGATGGATAGCAACAAGTTGATTAATAGTTATGATTAATCATATGTTTCTCAATAAACCCGCAAAGTTTAATACGTTTAGTTATTATTATGTGTTCACTGTCACAGGAACACCCACCAGCGCCTGTAAGATGATGGGTAATGCTGATTTCTGGTTGCTACGAACCTACTGGGATTTTGATTTTCCTCGTCCTTCACTCCCAAACATTAAATTCGTTGGAGGGATCCACTGCAAACCAGCTAAACCTTTGCCAAAGGTAGAGCGACACTATTCCCCTGCTAAAAGTGTGGATGTAAACAATTAGAAAGTCAAGATTTCAAAATCATGACTAAAAAATAACAACAAAATTGTTTGATGGCTTACCAAAAATGGTAGGGCTTTAATCCATTATTTTGAAAGTTGTTTCCTGGCCATAAATGAACATAAATCAGAATGAAATCTAAATAACTCACTCATACATGAAAATGTTGCTTTTTTGCAGGAAATGGAAGAATTTGTCCAAAGCTCTGGAGATGCTGGAATCGTGGTCTTCTCTTTAGGAACTGTGGTCAAGAACCTGACCACAGATAAAGCAAACATGATCGCCTCAGCTTTAGCTCAGATTCCGCAAAAGGTCAGAAAATCTGAAAAAGAATCCAACTGTTTTGGATTTGGTGCTGTTTATTTCAAATATGCAAAACCCTTAAAAAGTATCAAACATATTTAACCATGTAGGCATCTATACCCAGTGATAGATATACACAAATACATATGCACAGATATTCCTGCTCTCAATGCCACCTCACTTATTTACAGATGAAAAAAAAAACAACCAAAATCTGTGATAGCAATAGTCACTAAACCATATATCTCATCAAATTCTTGATATATATTAACTTCGTGTTAAGTCTACATTTAAATCCTTTTGCAACTTAACACCTTAAATAAAGTAGATTCACAGAAGCAGCTTTAGATTTGTTTGCACGTTTAAGATTTTTCATTTACATCAAAAACCTCCCTCCCTATTCTTAATAAGAGTATAACATTTTATGGTTATTGTCTCTTTTTTGATTACTCTCAATGAATATCAATGCCTGGATTTTTAATTGTTTAAAAAGATGTTCTGCATGTTTGAAGTGTTTAAAGTATAGTTTATAATTCCACTATTCACCTGTGTAGACTATTGCAGACACATGCTCTGTTTTTAAAAGAAGATTAATCAGATCACATTGTTAAAACTTTTGATTATTTTTAGGTGTTATGGCGATACAGCGGAGAGAAACCCCAAACGCTTGGCCCTAACACCAGATTATATGACTGGATCCCACAAAATGACCTGCTAGGTGCGTATAAGAGTATCCATCAAACTTTAGGAAAACTGATTTAAGAAAAAAACTATTTTGCTGAATAGGGTGCATACAAACTGCATATAACAATTCTCATTTTAACATATTTAACTATAAAGTTTCTCAAATAGTCACACTTAAAATTGCTGTTTTGAGTCGGGGCCACTACATTTTTACACAGAAAATTCTGCATTTCAGCATAAGGTGTCATTTATATTAATAAATATTATATCACAAAGTCTGATATGATATGATATCAATTAATTTTAATTGTATAATCCCTAATACAACCATTAACTTCTAATAACTCACAGCTATTTAATGGATAAAAAAAAAGGTATGGATGGAAACAGATAATCTGCCACATCCTGACATGATACAGCTGGTGCTTGATCACAATGATCAACATGATACCTGTTTTTTTTTCCAGCATCATTGCCATGCAAATAATGAATATCTTTGACTTCTATCAGGTCATCCTAAAACTAGAGCTTTTGTCACTCATGGTGGAACAAACGGGATCTATGAGGCCATCTACCACGGCGTTCCCATGGTGGGGATCCCCATTTTTGGTGACCAGCCGGAAAACATGGTGCACGTGGAGACCAAAGGAGCAGCAGTTACTGTGAACCTCAACTCTTTAAATGCTGACGAACTGAGGGATGCTGTGAATACAGTCATTAATAACAAATCGTGAGTAGTTGTCAAGTTTTTGGAGTAATAAAACACCTGTTCATTTTTGAAGAGTACAAGAACCGCCATGGAATCATGGTGTTCAATTCAATTCAATTCAGTTTATTTATATAGCGCCAAATTCACAACACATGTCATCTCAAGGCACTTCACAGTTCAACCAGATCATAAAGTCAAATTGATACAAAGTTCTCCATCTAAGGAAAACCAGTTGATTGCATCGACTCATTGACTCAATACAATCCCTCACACTAAGCATGCTTGTTGCGACAGTGGAGAGGAAAAACTCCCTTTAAACAGGAAGAAACCTCCAGCAGAACCAGGCTCAGTGTGAGCGGCCATCTGCCGAGGCCGACTGGGTTCAAGAAGACGGAAGCAGAGACACAAAAGCAGCTGTAATAGGCGGCCCCGTCCAGGAAACACACAGCCAGGCAGACGAGCTCCGAGCCAGCTCCCATGTCAGAGGACGAAGAAAGCACATCCACCCAGTCACAGCACAGCTGATGTTTCTTTCCAGGATGACGTCACAGCCAAACAGGAACAGACAAGGCAAAGCTACTCTGAGGAAAAGCAGATAGAGCAGAAGGTTAGAGATTGAACTAACAGATTCTGCAGAATAGGAGAATAGAAAGAGAATGAAGCAGAATGATGAAATGGGGGTCCCTATGTCCTCCAGCAGTCTAAGCCTATAGCAGCATAACTATAGAGATAGCTCAGGATAACCTGAGCCACTCTAACTATAAGCTTTATCAAAAAGGAAAGTTTTAAGCCTAGCCTTAAAAGTAGACAGGGTGTCTGCCTCACGGACTAAAACTGGTAGTTGGTTCCACAGGAGAGGAGCCTGATAACTAAAAGATCTGCCTCCCATTCTACTTTTAGAAATTCTAGGAACCACTAGTAAACCTGCAGATTGAGAGCGAAGTGCTCTGTTAGGAACATAAGGAACAATCAGATCTCTGATATAAGATGGAGCTTGGCCATTTAAGGCTTTATATGTGAGAAGGAGGATTTTAAATTCTATTCTTGATTTAACAGGAAGCCAATGAAGAGAAGCCAGGATAGGAGAGATGTGATCTCTCTTTTTAATTTTCATCAGAACTCTGGCTGCAGCATTTTGGATCAGCTGAAGACTCTTAACTACAGTTTGTGGACTTCCTGATAGTAAAGAATTACAATAGTCCAGCCTTGAAGTAACAAATGCATGGACTAGTTTCTCAGCATCACCCCTGGACAGGAGATTTCTAATTTTTGCAATGTTCCTCAGATGAAAGAAGGAAATTCTAGAAACCTCTTTGATATGGGATTTAAATGACAGGTCCTGATCAAAAACAACACCAAGATTTTTTACTTTATTATCTGAAATCAGTTTAATCCCATCCAAATGAAGTGACTGACTAATCAGCTTATTTTTCAAAGACTCTGGTCCAAAGACTATAACTTCTGTTTTGTCTGCATTCAGAAGCAGAAAGTTAAGAGTCATCCAGGTTTTTATGTCTTCAAGACATGCCTGTAATCTATGTAATGGGTTAGCTTCATCTGGATTTATAGACAGATATAGCTGGGTATCATCAGCATAACAGTGAAAATTAATCCCATGCTGTCTAATAATTCTACCAATTGGGAGCATGTATAAAGTAAATAGAATTGGTCCTAGCACTGATCCCTGTGGTACTCCACAGGTAACCTTTGAGCATGTTGAAGATCTATCATTAACATGAACAAACTGAAATCGATCAGATAGATAAGATTTAAACCAGTCTAATGCTTTTCCTTTAATTCCAACAAAATGTTCAAGTCTTTCTAAAAGAATATTATGGTCAACTGTATCAAATGCAGCACTAAGATCCAACAGGACGAGCACAGATACAAGTCCATTATCTGAGGCCATGAGAATATCATTAGTGACTTTCACCAGAGCTGTTTCAGTGCTATGATGAGCTCTAAAGCCAGACTGAAACTCTTCAAAAAGTTCATTATGGTGTAAGTGATCGCAAACTTGCTTGGCAACTACTTTCTCAAGAATTTTGGATAAGAAAGGAAGATTGGATATAGGTCTATAATTAACCAAGTCATCTGGGTCAAGAGACGGTTTCTTAAGCAGAGGTTTAATTACAGCAACCTTAAAAGCTTTAGGTACATATCCCTGAAACAGAGATAAATTAATCACATCTAAAATGGAGGAGGAGATCAAAGGGAATGCCTCCTTAAATAACCTGGTTGGAACTGGATCTAACATACAAGTTGAAGGCTTAGATGAAGACAATAATTTTGCTAATTCAGAGAGTTCAACTGGATCAAAGCAGTCTAAACCCGGTTCAGATTCCATGACTACCTCAGGTACAATCGCGGATAGAGGAGTGCTTATGATCTTATTTTTAATAAGATCAATCTTATTTATAAAGAATCCCATAAAATCATTGCTGCTAAGAGCAGGTGGAATGGACGGTTCAACAGAGCTATGGCTCTGGGTGAGTTTGGCAACTGTATTAAAAAGAAATCTAGGATTATTCTTATTCTCCTCTATTAATGAGGAGAAGTATGCTGCTCTTGCTTTACAAAGGGTCCTCTTATACAGCAGTAAACCATTTTTCCAGACTAGGAAGGACTCCCGCAGGCCTGTGGAGCGATATTTTCTCTCCAGTTTCCTAGCATTTTGCTTCAAAGTACGCAGCTCTGCATTAAACCAAGGAGCAAGCTTTCTATTTTTAACGGTTTTCATTTTCAAAGGAGCTGCATTGTCTAAGGCAGCACGCAGAGAACTAGCAACCCCATCAACAAAATCATCAACCTGTGAAGGGGAATAAGCTATGCTTTTGCATTCTGCAGCACTGCTCAGCGACAAAGAGGAGAGAGAAAGTGAAGCAGATTCTTTAAAATTTATAACTGCACTATCTGATAAAGATCTACTAAAATGTAACCTTCTTTTGGGGGAGGAGAACTCTGTTAAAGTAATCCTGAAGGTTATTAGAAAGTGGTCAGAGAGGACAGGGTTGTGAGGAAATACTGTTATTTCTTCACATTCTATGCCGTATGTCAGCACAAGATCCAAAGTATGAAGATGAGAATGTGTGGGACTATTCACATTTTGAACAAAGCCAATAGTGTCTAAGATAGCATTAAAGGCTGCTCTTAAGCTATCGCCTTCAATGTCAGCATGGATGTTAAAATCTCCCACTATGATGACCCTGTCAGTTTTTAATACCAAATCAGAAAGGAACTCTGAAAACTCATCTAAAAATTCAGAGTAAGGACCTGGTGGACGATACAAAGTTACAAAAAGAAGAGGTTTTCTTGCCTTGAAATTTGGATCAGGGAAATTAAGGGTTAAATGTTCAAAAGAGTTGTAGGTATTAACTGTTTTGGGAGTAATCAGTAAGTCAGACTGGAAGATTGCTGCTACTCCTCCTCCTCGCCCAGAACTTCTGGGTATGTGAAAATTTAAATAGCTTGAAGGAGTTGCCTCATTTATGCTCACATAATCCTCTTGCTGCAGCCAGGTTTCTGTAAGGCAACACAAGTCAATGTGATTATCACAAATCAAGTCATTAACTAGCAGACTTTTAGAGGAAAGAGATCTTATGTTAAACAGACCGCATTTAATTGTTTTAACTTTTTCCCCAATTGGAGTTATTTTTATTTTAATTAGATTATCATGATTTACTCCTTTAGGAATATTTGCTAATTTATTAGATTTTGGTCGTGGGCAAGACACTGTCTGGATGGAGTAAAGAGTGGGTAACAGTAGAGAAGCTGCAGAGATGTGTGTTAAACTACAACTCTGCTTCCTGGTCTGCACCCTGGTGTTAAGATGGGGGTCCGTGCACAGGGCCTGAAGTAAACTTTTTTGGCTACCAGCCACTGTGGCAGGTGGACTTCATAATCTACCTGCCACAGAGGTTGTTTACCAGCAAAACCTCCGTTGCACCAAAAATATAGGTGATCAACTCAGAAAAGGCTTTAGAATAGTTCTTGAACTTTACAGAATACACATTAAACTGCTTTCAGGTTATTGGCCAATTTTATCTCCTTTATAACTACAGTAGACCTACATAATGGAAAAATGCGTCTGACCTGATATGACTCCCATTTAGAATAGAAAATGACAGAAACACAAACAGCCAGTTCATCCCACTGATGGTCTCATGCATTTAGTTAACACCAAGCTGCAAATCTAATAAACCATATAACTAATACTGACCCTTACATTACATTAATATAAAAAATGTATTTTTAACTGTGTGCATATTATACATGAATGTTCATCTTCAAGAAAATTCTAATATATTGATTGAATATTAAGATAAAAAACATCAATCATAACAACAATAACATAATTGATAGAGCCAAAGCTATAGTTCCAGGAATATAACCATCATCTCATAAGTAAAGGGGCATATTTTTGCCAATTTCATGCCCATCCATGGGTCATTCGTGACTTTTGAAATTAATTTGACCATCCTAACATTACTTATTTGGGACTATTTGGGTGGTTTTAGGGCCTGATTTTTTTCCCTGAGACATTTGAGTGAAAAACACAAAGTATTTGCCTTAAAAAGTAAACATTACTCAGTCAAATACATAACTGGATAGATCATTGGATCATTGAATAAACTAAGATAAGTATAGCAAACTCTTGATTTTTACCTTATCCTTCCACAGCTACAAAGAGAATGTAATGCAACTGTCCAGAATAAATCACGACAGACCCATGAGTCCTCGGGATGAGGCGGTTTTCTGGATCGAATTCACCATGAGAAACAAAGGAGCCAAGCATCTGAGGGTTCAGTCACATGACCTCACCTGGTACCAGTACCACAGCCTGGACATCATAACCTTTTTCATCATTTTAGACTTGCTCCTCCTCATCATTCTCTTAAAAACCTGCAGCTTCTGTTTCAAGAGATGTTGTGGCAGAAAAACTACAAAAAGAAAAGCTGAATAAAAGATTGACTGCAGGCTGGGTAACATACTTTCTTTATTTTCTGGCATTAAGCACACTGCAGTTTTAAAAGTTTGCACACATTTTAACTACAGTAATTAAACAATAAAGCAGACACAAATATAATAACCATTGCCGTTTATTTTTGGTACCTTTTTTGTGTTAGGCTTTAATAATTATTTTAATTCTGATAAACTGGATAAATAAAACAATGAAGTATGATACTACCTCCTTTGTGCTTCAGTGTGCTATCATTGTGTCCAATCCAGAGAGTCTTTCAACAGAGAACAGATTTATTAGGAGAGTTTTTACAACTTGCTCTTAATACCATATCTACTTCTTTACATTTTTGGTTCTCTGTAATGGTGCTCCAGCTATTAAAGATTTTTTGTTTGTCACTAATTTATACAACAAAGCTTCATCAAGATTGAGTTCTTAATAAATGCTGCATAAATGAAGCCAAGTTGATGCACACCTATTAGAATTTTAGAATGGGTTGGAATTGCATTTCCCTCTTTGGACCAAAAAAATGAATCCAAAATGGATTAATTTGTCAGACCAGGATTCTTCAGTACTCTAAACTGAGGCGTCTGCCGCCCGCTACCAGAGGAAGGGCATCCTGGACCCCCTGCAAATCAGTTAAATATACATTTCTGTTCCCCCACACCAACATCGTCTTTGTGCTTGGATCCAGATGTGTCCATATTAGGTAGGGTAGGCCACGTGGGGATCGTCTCTGCTGGTAACACATTCTTCACACTCAAAGCTTGAGTAAAACTGCTTCAAACAATGGGCTATCTGGACCTTTAATTCCTAGTTTTACAGGAGAAGCTTGGAACCTGGTAACCCCAGAGATTGGATAAAGCAGCGTCTTCCCTTAATCACATACTTTACAGCAACCGCCTACTACAGTACTACATACTGGAGTTAAATTATCTTTTAATACATTCCTGTATGTTGAATGGAGGTAGTTGTGAATTTAGTACCGTACATATATGTGAGCAGGTGTAACCCAGGTAACCATAGCCCTCACTAAACATAAACCTTTTTATAAAAATAGCTATAAAATACGAAATAAATAAATAGGAAATAAATAGGTCTCAAAATAGTAAAAAAAAAAAAAACACAAACAAAACCTTGGAAATAACAAATGGACTGGTGTTGGTGAAGCATTTTTCCCCCACACAGTGTTCAGTAGCCAAATCGACATATATATTACTTAATTCAGTAGAAAGCAAAGCTAAAAAGAACTTTTGCTATGCTTTGTTGGTTATTAAACCAGGCCTTTAAGTTTCTGCCTGAGATTGGACTGGGGAAGTCGATTGCTGAGTTGGATTCCACTAGAGAGAAACAGGATGGCGAGCCGTAACCCAGAAGCCCTGTAACTGCCGTCTAGCATGAGATACGCCCACTGCCGGACATTTCAAATAATCCAAACTGGTATGATTTGCCAATTTTTTTCCTGCTAAAAAAAGCAGTGGATTCAGAGTTAACCCTTCAGGATCAACAGAGAGAAAGGACATTGATTGAAGCATAAGTTAACCAATCTTTTGCTGAATTGTTTCTGCTGTGTTTTATTGATTTTCTTCCTGAACCATTTTCAGTATTCATTGTAAGTGTGTGGAATGTAAATTGTCTGTTGGGTTATAATAGAAACAAGAAATAGTTGAAACAGGAAATTAAAGCCCCTTATAAATAGAACTATAACCTAGGTTTAAATAAATAGTATCCTTTAATATCCAAAATTAGGTGTTAATGTTAAACAGGGGTCAAACCGATTATTCTGAAACAAATAGGGAAACTATTTTGAATTGAATTTTGTGTCATTGTATGTCTATTGTTTGTAATATTGCTCTTTTCAAACAATAAGCCGGCAGTTAAATCATATTTTCTGGTCTGTGGTCATTAATAAACTTACACATTTCTATACTTTCATAGCTGAACCTAGCACTGGTCTTATTATATGTTTTATCAACTGTAAACTCATCGTAAGTGTTACAAAGAGTTCACAGTTTCACCATGATTTAAGCTCAAATCACACGTATGTCTATTGTCCTAATGCACCGCCAGCTGTGAGCATGTTCACAGAACAACACATAACAGTCTTGAATTAATTTGACTAAATATTACATGACTAGCATACCAGTTGACAAACTAATTGACAAACTGTGGACTAATAATATTATTAATATGTTGTAAATATTGTATGATTTATACATACGTACATGAAAACTGTTCAGGTAATTTAATTAACTTTTGAATGCATAACTGTACAACATTTAAACAGAAGTGATTAACCAAGTAACTAACCAACGTTTACAGTCATTTCTTTTTCTGTTGCTTAACACTTTCGAGTAGTGACTTTGTTATCTTGTATTATTCAGTGCAAAGAGCAGCAAGTCAGAGGTCATTTAGTTAATCAGTATCTTTATGATGCAGCTGTTAAATACGCCAAAGTTCTTTTTGACTGCAGACACACAGTCATCATGAAGCTGCGCCTTACTGTTTTAGTCCTGTTGCTACTTGGTGCTTCAAAATTCTCAAATGGAGGAAAGATTTTGGTGTGGTACACTGAGGCCAGCCATTGGATCAACATGAAGCCTCTACTGGAGACCCTGGTGGACAGAGGACATCAGGTGACCGTCCTGATTCCAAGCGCATCGATGTTCATGAACAGCAGCGAACCTTCTCGCTTCCAGTACGAACCTTTTAACATCACTCTCTCTGTGAATGAAATGGAAAGGTTATTTCAGGACTTTCTTCACTTCTCCGTATACGAGATGCAGTTCATGAGTTACTTTGACATATATGTTAAATTCATAGGATTATTAAAGGAAAACATGAGGGCTTTTCTAAGTATGCTGAACGGAGTTGTAAAATCAGAAACCATCATGAAAAAATTAAAAGATGGAAAACATGACTTGCTTCTTGCTGATCCCGTCTACCCTGGGAGTGACCTGACTGCAGACATGTTGGGCATCCCCCTCGTTTACTCGCTGCGTTTTTCCTTAGCCCATAACTGGGAAAGGATGTGTGGTCAGCTACCTGCTCCACCTTCCTTTGTCCCTGGTGCTATGAGCAAACTCACAGACAAGATGGACTTCTCGGAGAGACTGTGGAACGTCCTCTTCTATGCTCTGCAGGACAAAGTAATGGAACAGTTTCTGTGGAATGAACTTGACATATACTACTCTGAAATCAGAGGTAAGCTAATTTGAGAGAATTAGAGAAGACAAATGAACTTTATGGAACACAATGTTTTAAAATCTTCAGTGTAGTTTAAGATAACCTTTTACGTTTTATGTTTCCGCTGCATTAGGAAAACCCACCAGTGCCTGTGAGCTGATGGGCAATGCTGATATCTGGTTGATGCGAACTTACTGGGATTTTGAATTTCCTCGTCCTTTCCTTCCAAATTTTAAATTTGTGGGCGGGATCCACTGTGGACCAGCCAAACCTTTACCAGAGGTAGGGTAATAATCCATGCTTTTGAAGTAAATTAAATTGCCACAATATTCCTTTAACATTCTTAGTAAAGGGCTGTAATCAAGTTTTATCAAATGGCTCAAGTATTACTATTTTGCAGGAAATGGAAACATTTGTCCAAAGCTCTGGAGATGCCGGGATCGTGGTCTTTTCTTTGGGATCTATGGTCAAGAATGTGAGCATAGAAAAAGCAAACATGATAGCCTCAGCCCTCGCTCAGATTCCACAAAAGGTCAGAAGGATCTCCAAATGTCAGCAATATTAAATGTCTCACTACCACATGTATTGCTTTTGTTGCTTTTCTCGCCATAATAAGCCAGAGAATAGTAGAAAATCTTAGTCAATTTTACCATCCTTTTCTCTAACCAAAGAGTTGGAGTCAAAGAATTTATAAGATGGTAAAGAATAACACAATTTTCCCCCCTCATACTCAATATATTATTACCAAAATGATTTAGATTTTTACAGGAAGGAGCCAATGTGAGTTCATATGGATGAACATGATTTTACTATAAGGCTCTTCGAATCATCATTACAACAAGAAAAACTGTGTATTAATTCAGTCCTAACACCATGGGGTGTATACACTGTACGATTTTTTTTACCCTTTTTGGGCCGATTCTCCAGTCGTGCGAGAATTATTTTCGATCGGGACGAGTTTCAGCCTGATCTTGTGTCCTGCGTCGTGTAGTGTACAGGGGGTAACAAGGGCCGATTATCCACATCCCAACTAGGAATCTTAAGGTCGGGAGAAAATGTTTTAAATTCAGTTGGCCCTCGTCAGGTATTTGTTGGTAAATCTTGCTGTTGAAGTAGAGCTACGAGCCGATTTACCAGAAATTTGTGTGCAAAAAAGGGAGTTCTTCTTCCTCCAGATTGAAGAGTCTGACCAGTGCCATCTCTTGGCGCTGAGTGCGACGTGTGTTTTCTGGACGTACAGTGTGAGCAGTTAAATCGCATCAGAGTCGGGCCGTACGGTGTAAGAAAATACATAATGAGCTGTGAACTTTTTCCTCCTGCGATTTCGTTGCACAGTTTGAGCTGTAGCTGAGTACGATTGCAAAATCATACAATGTGTAGAGTTTAGTCTGGCAGCTCAACTGTACACAATCTGTTTGATCTGAAACACTGTTGTGTTTATTTTACGTTTTTTAATATTTGTAGGTGCTGTGGAGATACAGTGGTGAAAGGCCCCAAACCCTGGGTTCTAATACAAAGTTGTATGACTGGATTCCACAAAATGAGCTGCTGGGTGGGTACCTATAATTAAAGGCATACGTTGGTATTAGTACGATGGTGCTAATGTTAAAGAGTTTAAAAAAAAATACACTAAAGCATTTTCCAGAACAGGGGTTATGGGCTCTATAAACTGTAATACATTGCAGTAGTCGACCTTGGTTTTCACAGATCCGCAATTAATGTCAGATTTGATTTCTGCTAATTAAAAAAAAAGAGCAATCTATTATATTATATATTTGCAAAGTTGGGAATGAGAGATTGACAGCTTTATATTTCAGTAAGTTAAATGCTTTTTTTTTTTTTTTACTTTTAGAAAGCCATTATGGTAATTACGGTATAAAGTTATGCTTTTCTAAAGTTAATTGATTAAAGTTACTTTTTAAGAAGACACTCCCTTCTGCAGAAAATATCTGCATTTTATTTTTTATACAATGAACATTTGGAGTGCTGAGATACGGGTAGACAGGACAGCAACAGGCTTGTAGTCATGGGAAGGGAGCTGGATT